AATCCAGTTTTCGGGACACCTAAATAGACTTAAGGGTCTTGAACACTTATCTCTCAATGGCAAAATTGAGGGCAAGCGAGGCAGGGGAAGACCCAGAACAACATACTTGGGTAACCTAAACAAATGGGTAACATGGAAAGATCAGGGAAATGTAGCTTTTTTTGAGAGTATCCGAGCAAAGGAATGAATGGAGAACCATGATCGCCGATGTCTGTCGCAGATCTGGCACTGGATGATGATGATGAAGACGCCCACCTGTCTACGCCGGCCACTTTTTTTATTCGACATTGCGTCATTGCTGTCTTAGTGGGAGAACACAAAGGCCGTCGATTTCTGTCACCTAACCACTAGGCGAGGTAAGTTATAGGAATCCATCTATACAATTTCTACAAACGCACAGAGACATGGCATATTCTCTGCGCCGATCTGTGGGATCGGTGGCGGCTTATTATATAGGAATGCAATTTTAAATTTTGATTACTACTTGCTGAAAGCCGCTGCTCGGTGCAAAGGTGTGACCCGTCAGTGGGCCGTCACCGGATGTATGACGTCATAGGGTTGGATGGGGACTTCTTCAACTGACCATTATCTCAACGAGGGAACTCCGTACACAAAATCTGATGTGAGATTTGAAATCAGCGATCTAAATTCTACAGGCTCACTTAATGTTAAGTCTAACCTGTCAAATCTAGATCTAGTTAAGAGGAACAGCCTACACGCGCTGAAAATATGTGTCCTTTATATTCTACCCCCGGAAAGATCGGCACAGAGCGAATAATGCCACCAATACGCCGAAACATATTCGGTGGCCACTCTGTCCTCGCCTTTAGACAATACAATTTCGCCTGTTTTTTTAAAAACTACTCGCAGTGCCAGCGTACGTACGTACGTACGTACGTACCTACCTACCTACCTACCTACCTACCTACCTCTATGAAGCATCTCTGTCTGTCAAAGGGGTCATATTCGGTGGCCACTCTGTCCTCGCCTTTAGACAATATCATTTCGCCTGTTTTTTTAAAACTACTCGCAGTGCCTACTTACATACCTACCTACCTGCCTACCTACCCACCTCTATGAAGCATCTCTGTCTGTCAAAGGGGAAGTTGGTCATATCTAAGGAACAGGACGTTGGGAAGATGCTGCCCGGAGCCCAGAGTACATAGCCGTCTGATGTTACGGAGACAGGCCTGTTCAGGAGCGAGATGATGATGATGATGATGATGATGATGATGATGATGATGATGATGATGATGA